CTTTTCTTTATAAAAACTTCAATTGAATTTCAATAAAGTTAAAGGCATGGCCTTACCGTTAATATTTAAAAAAAAAATAAAAAATTTTGTACATTATACATTACACAGGAATCTGAAATTCAGAAATTTAAAGTTTTAAACAAATATAAAAAAAATTCTAGAAATAGTAAAAATTTTTCTTTTCCAAATTACATATGACAGATGCAGATAATACAAAACTTAAATATTATCATGGTATCTGCTTTGTATACAGAAAATGTTTATATTGTGCTACAGATTTAAGCATTAGTATATGCATTTGTAAAATATTCCTAATACCAACTAAGAAAAACAAAACAAATTTAGTTAAACAAGCTTATACACATTCCTATGAACCTATCTAGATTGCACCTAAATTTAAATATGTTCAAAAACAAGTTATTGATTGTAATTATTAAATAAACTTAAAAAAACCATTCAAATTTTCTCTTTGTGAATGATGTCATAATGTTTTAGCCAGACTGAGTTCTAATAAAAAATTAACCAAAACAGCAAATAAATCTATAGATAAAATAATTTAAAATTTTATTATATTATTATTATTATTATTATTATTATACAAATTGTACTATATTTAATTTTTTTTATAAGAAATAGATAAAAAACCAGAAAGTGTTTTTTTTTTTGTATTATTTAAATTTTATATTTACTTATTTATTAATACAATTTTTTTTATAGAAAATAATTAAATTTTCTTTGCTTAAATCCATTGCAAATAAAACTAAAAATAATGAGAATATGATTAGTAAAGATAAGACAAGCAGTATTGAAGAACCTGAATTTGCATTAGGTTACAAATTATTTATAAAATTATCAGATGGAACTTCATTACCTACAAAATGGTTTAAAGAATCAGTTATTATTATAAACAAATTTCTTTCATCTATCTATAATAAAGTTATTTCATTAACTAAAAATACTGATGTTTTGCCAAATGATTATTATGTAACTTTTAAAATACAAAAAGAAGCGGGTGCCAGCACTCAATTAGTTGATGCACAAGATTTCATTAAGTTTAAAGCTGAATATTCAAAACTAACTGCAAGAAAAAGTGATATTGAAATTTATGTTACTATTATACAATCTTTTGTTTCTTAAAATAAGCAGAAAAAAAAGTATGCATCTTTATATAACAATAACAATAATATATAATAAAGCTATTTATATTGTAATGTGTTCAAATTAATTAGAACTAAAATTTTATAAGAGTCAAATTTGGATGGTGATGAAGATAATAAAAGACCAAAAAATACAAAAAAAATTAATCAAATTCCAAGTATTTTATCTCTATCATTATGTGACAAAGATATTGCTAAAAATGCAACAGATATTTGTGTAATATTTTCTAATATTAATTTCATTATAATATTATATACAAGGTTACTAGGGTTTTGCCAATATTATCCTAATTACCTTGTATATAGATATGCAATATATTGTTGTTTAGAATCTATGTCATCTAGATTTTAAACAACACCAGTTTTTTTAGGCTAGATTTATAAAAATTTGACTGGAATTATAAAAAATCGACACTAGTAATTATATGTATCTAGATTTTGACAAATTAATGCTGGTCAAAATTTAGATCTTTGGCCCTGTAAAATAAGAATCACTTTTTATATAAAGAAACCATAACTAGATTTTTTTGAGATACTAAAATTAATTTACTAGAATTATAAAAATCTAGATGATAGTAATAATTAGTAACTAGATTTTTGGGGGTTCTTTTTATAGGCGAAAAGTATTTATTGGCTCGAATTAAGAAAAAATAAAGATCTTTTTGTAAGAATAAAAACATCAATCTAAAAATGTAATTTATGTGATATTTTATTAGTGAAAAGAAACAAATGGTTCTATAAAACTATATTTTTTTTGTCTTGTTCTACATTTTTTGTTAATGATACAAAATCGATTAGCTTAATATAATTATATGTAAACTACATTTTTTGTATAACAATAATTTTGAATTTATTTTTTATTAATTTTTATAAATGTTTAACAAAATAGTCATGATATGAATCAAATTTATATGAAATTTTATTATACTATATGCTTTTGCAGTCTTAATTTAAATTGTTCAGTATAGTAAGAAGTATTAGAATCTCTGTTTTTATGAATATTGGTTATAAACTCATTGAACAACAATGATTTTTCTCTATAAAAACATATAAAACTAATTTTTAAAAGAAAATAGTCAATTGTAATCAGCTTCAGATTAATTTCCTTATTCTAAACCTATTTTACATTTCTAAATAAAGTTGTTGAGCATGTTTTCATCCATTAGTATGTTAAATATCAGATTTTTAAAGTTAATATTCATTAAGATATTAACATTTTTCTGTTTTGTTTCATAGACAAATTTGTGTCTTTAATGAAAATAATGATTGATTGAACCCATCATTTTTTATCTTGATTCTAAATCTCATACTGCATATTAAGATAATTAATAGAATAAGGTTATAAAATTTTCTCTGAAAATTTGAACTTGTTTCATTAAGAATTTATAGAAATATAGTATTTTCTTATTCAAAAACTACTGATAAATTTTATTCTTTAAAGTTTACAAAACTGTTTTCATTAATTTGACCATTTCATTCAAAATAAACATTCTGTATGATACTAATGAAGTTGGTACAAATAATATTTAATAATTTGTATATTAAATTTTAAGTCAAATAGATTTATATTCATGAAATTAGCTTAAATTTTGATGAAATAATTTTTATCTTGTTTTTGCAAATTATTTGTTTTTAAATCACTGTTAGTACAAAAATTACATTTTACACAAAATTTAACTAAGTTAATCGATTTTGTGTCATTAACAAGAATGTAAAACAAGACAAAACACATATAGTTTCATAGAACTATTTTATTTTTTATTAATAAAAATTTTTATAAATTACATTTTAAAAACTGATGAATTTTTAAAATTTGTTCTAAAAGAATCATTGTGTTATGTATCAGCCTTACAAAATTGTAAGTTACCAAATCTCACTACTTGGAAGCTACATATCTTAAGATTTTGGTAAGGGACATATTCATAAGCACCAATCTGTATCAAGACAATTCTTACCTATACAAGAAGATTATAGCCTCACTAGGGTATCCTAATAAGAACAGGCCACTTATGTTTTAGGATAGACACCTGTTGTTCAGTTCATACCAGCCAGGCATAACAAAATGTTTATCCTGTACAAGGAGTCATTACTTACTAAAACTTAGATACTTCTGTAGAGCAAAAAGAGGAATTAGCTTTCAATGACCCAGGCTGTTAATGACTACAACAGTCCAAATTTTCTGTATAGAATTCCAAATTGTCTTGTATTCAATATGCCCTGTATGAGGTGTTTAAAAAAAAACACCTAACTAACTGATTATCAAAACAATCGAATTTATATAAATGATTGTCAATTACATGTTTCAATCACATGATAATCATATTAAAAATTTGTTATACAAACTTATTTATATTACTAATTTAAAAATTATACTACATATATATAATTAATTTATTATATATTATATATAAAAATATAATAAGAAATATAAATAAATATTTCGTTATCAAAACTATATATCAAAACTGTGCATCTAAATTTAGTAATTGTTCTCAAAACTGTGCATTAAACTTAGTTATAATTTATAATATAAAATAAACTATGTAACTAAATAAATTTAAATATATCAACTATTAAAACTGCATATTGAATAAGTTTATTATATAAATAAAAGTATATCAATAAATAATTGTTATAAAGACTACAAGCTATAAAATACTACTGTATATTTAACATAATACAAAATATAATTTATAACTTAATATTTATTTATAGTATTATTTATTATATATTTTAAACTAAAAAAAAATAATTATTAATTATAAGTTAAAAACTACTTAGTAATTATAAGAATACAACTATACTTTTATAAAATATCAATATATTATCTTAACCTATTAATACTCTTTATGGAATAAAGTATACTTTTTTTATTTTATTTAACGTTAATTATTTTCAATTTAAATACATAACAATTAAGTATAATATTAATTTATAGGCATTATCTAAACCATATTTCAAATATATTATCATATTGTAAATGAAGCAAAAGAAGCATATCATTTAATCTTATGATACTATCTTTTGTCGAATTTAAACTATTCTATTTGAAAACAATTTTGTTAAGAATTATATCTTTAAAAATTTTTTTTTTTGTTCAGTTTTTTTTAACACATAATGGTAAATAATCAAAAAACAGTACAAGAAAGTTCATTACATAAAGAGAAAGTTGATATCACTATTCTATTTTATGACTGAAGCATTTGTATTATGTTTCTCACTTTAACTATACATATCACAAAATAGACTACAAAAAAAAACTATTTTGTTTTTATTGGAAGTTAAGAGTAGGAGGTAGTAGTTTAAAATTATATATAAACCTAATGGTAATTTTTTTTATATTTAATTTTATAAAGAATTATATTAAGTAAACTAATTTTAATTTATAAGAAAAGTTTGT